TTCTCGTCATCCGCCCCCCTTAGACTCATGACCACTTTCGCAACTAAAACCCACCTGTTCGTCTCTTGGTACACAACCGTACTGAAACGCAACCAGCAGCAGGTTATGTTGGATTGCGTCATCCACGGAATGCAGTGCGACAAAGCATAACTGTGTTGACAACACAAACCGGGACTAACGATCGAGATCTACCCGTTTCGACGTAGAAGCTCCAATGTTTTGGGGCTAGGAGGTTCGTTACAGACGAGAACCGGTCGTACTAGTTCGATGCCATAGAGTCGCCTGGTTTTATTAGGAAACCCAGTCAAACTTTGGTATCAAACAGTAAGTTAACCGATCTGTTACGGGAGAACTGACCTGATATTTGAAGCGGATTTGTCCACGAGTTCCTCAGCGTGTAGAAAGAAGTGAGTTGCATCGGCGCAAATTCACTGCGTCTATCGGAACTAGAACTGGTGCATGAATGGCTATCAGTTCAACCATTCTGATGGTTCGAACTGTCAACACCTCACTTCATATTTCGAGTTCAGCTGCGGTTAAGCAACCTCGCACATGCATGATCATTCATAAGCTGACCTGTGTGATACGTAGGTGGTCGATATTACATGGTCTTATGTATTATCCTGCCAGCAACGAAGTAAAGCTCGTGCTTGTTTATACCCTGTGATGGCCATTCAATTGTTTACTTCGAGCTTCTAAAAAGTTGCGCGAACTGTGATCTGTTGAATGAAAGAAATTTAAGCGGTTGTAAAAAAATAGAGGGGAGTATCATCAGGTTAGAAGTCACTTGATGTGTTAAACATCGCGATGGCATTGCGGTATGCCTGCTTCGGCATAAAGCCAGCACACGCCTGGGGTGAGATATGATGATATGCATTATTCTGCAATCTAATTAAGTTTCTTCACAGTATTAGCGTATTTGGTTTGATCATAAGACGAATTTTATCGTGTAAAGAGTAAGTGAAACGTTAACTGAATAGCTTTAGAGCAATATTGGACAACTGTTTCGACTTGGTTGGGTCTCACCACCTACCCAACTGGGGATCGAACTCGGGATCTTACGGGTAGAATACAGCCACCTACCCACTTGGTCACCGGAGAGTCTATCAGACCTGCATTAAGCTCGCCAAGATGTTATATTATACTGTAAATATTCATAAATAAAATACAGTCTGGTTTTGCTACCTGGGGGGCGAGTGGGTATGTCTGCGTTCTGCCTGTGAGGCCCCAGGTTCGATCCCCAGTTAGGTTCATGAATTTATACTGCCGACGAGACCCAGGCAGATCGAAACAGCTAACCAGTGATTCCTAGCTTTGCTCCTTACACGATGAAATCATATGATGAAAAATCCACAAATATTGTCATGTTACATACCATCGGGTTGGAACCTTTCCAAACCGACTCATAGCCCTGGAGGCGAGGACTGAGATGCGCAAGGTGCAATGCCTGCACTAAGCTCGCTAAGTTGGGTTGTGTTATATAGTGTAATCCAGTTTGTTGAAAGATTCAACGGATGTTCAACACTCACAAGTGCCTGGTGTGTGATGGTCATTGAGGGGGGGGGGGGGAAAAACTTTACCCAAAAACTTATTTTACGGGTACCAACCCCAGCATAGTAAATCCCAATATTGGAATTATTCACCGGATCACTGTATGGCCTAGCTTGTGTTCGCGTTAGTCATGGAACAAACTGAACAAAATTCAAAATCCCCGAGTGAAGGCTAAAAAGCCATGATTGAAGGCTAATCACGGAGGATGCTATCTCCCTATACGTGCAGCATGCTTTTGTGTGTTATCAATTTGCCTCGCTACTTACTGTGAACTGTTATCGCGGTGATTTGCCGTAGAGATGTGGGCACATGTTAACGAGCAACAACCGGAATACGTACGATGTAGTTTAAAATTGGCTCATTATTCCGTTCCATGTAGAGTTAGCATAAACACTGGTCATCATGCATTTCTGTGTTTCACCCTCAGCTGCCCTCTTATAAGTACTCAAACAGGAATGAGCCTAATCGAAAGGGTGAATTTGATAGAGATTACATTGGAGTAAACAACGTGCATTCAGGAGGTGAGTGAATGTACAAGTGCCATTGTAGACACGACGGTGAACCAGAAAACTGGATGTTTACATCGACTCGAGTGGACAAAACCTGAGATCCCTAGTCGTGAATGATAATGTTACCCCTATGCTAAAGTTTCCTAACAAAAGGTATAAACATATTCGGTCCCTTTAAAATGATAAGGCGCTGTAAAATAACGTTTTGTTCAATAACAAAAATGTTTTCGATCCTTTAAAAATAACGAGGAATCACTTTAAGTGAGGATACCTTCTGATGTTTGTTCTCGGGCGAAAACTTGCACTAGACATAGCTTAATTTCATTCAATAAAAGGATGATGCAGTTTCACGTCCATGGGCGAGTTAAACTTATAGCCTCCCAAGACCTCAGTATGGTTGGGGGTGGGTGTTTAGGGTTGCGGCTGGTCACCCTGCCCTT